TAATCCAATATTTCAAACTATTGTGTGAGATTTTAAGATATGATTTATATTATTTTCTAATAAAATTAAACTTAATAACTTAAACTGTTATGTGAAGTTTCAAGATATGATTTATATTATTCTCTAATAAAATTAAATATCCTCGCCTATCTTAGCCATACACTTAGAAATATAATTAAAAATACAAAAAAAAATTGTTAATAAATCACAATGAATTTTACTAACATAATAGTACCTTACTATATTCATCATTAAATATTAACAAAAATACTTTTTATAAATATACTAAGAGAATTACCATAAAAAATAATGAATGGAAAAAAAAACATGAAGTACAATGATGTAACATTTTTACAAACAAAGTTATCAATGAATTTAAATATATAGATTAAATCTATTGGTAAATTTATTTGTAATATTTAATTTATAATATGATAAGCGACTCATCTCTCTCTCTCCCATTCCTTTTTCTTCCTTTATTTTTTTTTTGTAACAAACACCATAACCCTCTCACCAAATTTTATCACAAATCAACTTTTCATTGTGAATTTAGCTACTCTAACACTTAATTTGTCAACATTTATATCCTGATTTAAATTTTATTTTTGACTCTCCACTTCAAGTAAACAAAAATTTCTTATTTTTTATTTGAACTCAATTTTAAAATGTTAATTTTTATTGCATATTTTTGTAGTATATGAATAAAAGGCTTCGTTTTATATTTTATTAATTTTATTATTGAGTTGAAATTTTTAGTAAATGTATAGAAATTTAAATTTATATAGATAATTAATAATAAATTAGTTGTACTATTAAAATAGTTTGAATAAGTTTGAGTTAAACCAACATTTTGTTATTCATTTAGTTTACATAATTAATTAATACATGTTGTCATCAATATTCTATATAGTTTTAACATAATTAATGAATAGTCGTTTATGGATATATCGAGATTTGCCTAAAAGGTTATGTATGATAGATTATTGTAATAGAGTTCGATGTTTTATTAATTATACACTATCTAATCCGAGAAATATTAGTGGAGACAGTATTAAATATCTATCTAATCCGAACTTTCGCAAATTGATATTGAAGATAAGATTACATATAAATGGTATATATGCTCTTTCTTATTTGTCCCATGGTTCAGATGAAGACCCCCCTCCACCAGTATCTCTGTTTTAAATTAATTGTATATGAAATTATAAATGCTTAAATTTGCAATAAATATTTGAATTCATATTAATTTATTTTTTTTAATTATTTTGTTTTTTTTAATATATTTTTTAAAAAATATATTTTTAAGTTGTTCTAAATTCCAGAGAGTTGAAAAAAAATTTATTGCAAATGTCATTGTCACTGATTATTCATTCTGGAACAACAAACAATTTGTTTAACGATTACATTTCAAATTCACTAAGGGACATACCGATAGATTAAAAAAATCATCGATAGAATGACATATGATTTATTTATCTATAATATATTATATTTAACAATAGAAATACCGGCAAAATGAAATAAGTAAAAAAAATTGGACGTACTTTATTCGCCAGTAAATCTATATGTAAAATTATTACTAATGGACTCATCAACATATCACAAATCATCATTGAGAGTTTTTTCAACAAATCATTTTTGTTCATGATCACATCGATAAAGTTTTTACTAATATACTGTAAGTATAAATATTGATAAAAAATTTCATTTGTAAATTTTAAAATTCTTAATGTATTCTGATCCATGCTAATTTGTATTAATTCTTGTTGTTTTAATTTAGTTAAGGAAAATATATTACAGTAAGAATAATATTATGACATGTTTAAAGAATTGAGTTAACAACCAGAATAATATTATGGCATATTTAAAGAATTGAGTTAAAAACCTGCTTCCAGTTTTAGACCTGTTTGTGAAGATGGTTTAACTTGTATTTTTAAAAAAATTAATTTTTTTATTTTAAATTAATACGTTTTAGTATTTTTTGATCGTTTTCATGCTCAGATATCAAAAATAATTTTTAATAAAATAAAAAATTATCATTTTGATATATTTCTAAATAAAAATTATTAAATAAAAATCATTTTGAATCATAACCACTACTACAATCCTAAACATATCTTATTTATTAAAATGAAAATACAAATTAAATAGTATTTATATATTTCTTATATGCTAATCAATTAGTCATAGCAGATTATTACTCAATACGAATGAATTATAATAAAATGTTTTTTTTAGGTTAAAAGCCTGAAGGAACCGAACGAGCCTTTTCAGGGTGGCCGTTAAGGTCCCTCAAACAATGCTGTTTGGATTTATATAAAACTTTGGGCTTGTAACTTTGTAACCATTTCAAACTGTCCAGCCTAGTCATGGATGGGCTTTCTGCAATTCCAAAGCCCACAATAAACCCAAAAACGAATGATCGTAATTAAATGACCAAACCATCCTCACCAAAACAGCTATATAAAATAAGGCAGCAGCGAGTAGGGTTTTCGAGTTTTCCTTTTCCCCGCCGTCCATCTCTATTTCACTGTAACCTGCAGCTCGCAGTTCCTCGCGACCACCACAAACTCCAATCATGGCCGTCGGGTACACTTCCCTTCTCTCTTTCCCATTCAACACATGGAGGCTTATGTTTATATGTTCAGTGTGCATGGAAAATATTTTATTGATGAATTACTCGTATGTTTGTCAACAGGAAGAACAAGAGAATTTCCAAGGGAAAGAAGGGAGGAAAGAAGAAGGCGTGAGTATTGCAGACTAAACTTTGTGTCTTTCTAGATCTGCTGTTTGATTAATTATTGTTGTTTGTTTGTCTTTACAGAGCTGATCCATTTTCAAAGAAGGATTGGTATGATATCAAGGCTCCTTCAGTTTTCTCGGTCAAAAACGTCGGCAAGACTCTTGTTACTCGTACTCAGGGTACCAAGGTATATAACGTTTTTTAAATTTATGAACATTTTTCTCTTATTTTTTTTCATAGTTTTGCATAATTGTTTGCGTTTTTTATGTTTGGTCGTTGGGTTCTCTTAGAAAATGAGAGCGCATAATATGGGGCAAGGTTTTTGTTTAAAATCATAGATTCTAGGTGTTCTATATGGTTTTAGCCTGTATAAGAGGTCACGATGATTGCCAGGATAGAGAGGCGAGTTTCTAGCGATTTGTTACTCTGTTAATGCGTTGATTGAGATTTTGCTGGTTGGAGTTCATTTTGCCCAATAAATTTAAGTTCAGTGGTAACTTTTAGGTGGCCTGCTTAAAAAATTAAACCTTGAAAGCATGGAAGTACAGTGCATGGATGGCATATGGTTTGTCCA